ACGATAGACTTTTCCAAAGCTGCCAATGCCAATCTCTTGAACATCACTAAAATGTTCGAATTCATAGTACTTAATATATTTTCGTGAGATTGATTCTTCAATCCAATTAACCCACTCATTCGAATTGTTAAAAGCTTGCATTTTTATTTATTCAATTTTGTAATAAATTAAAATTCTTGAAAAAAAAAAAAAAAAAAAAAAAATGCATACGGCAACGTCATGTAACGTTAATCAAATTTCTAAGCCACTGGTAATGGTGATCGGTTTCACAAGAAAAATGTAAACTATTTTTGAAAAAAGTAAAAACTGGTATTACCAATTCTATTAAAAATTTTCATTCATTACTTCACTTCAAAATTAGAATAGTATTATGAAATTCTCTATCCAAATGAAATTTATATAATTAATATGTTCTCATGCCTCACTAAATTGTTGAACCAATGATAAATTTGAATATACTACTAAAATATTTAGAATGAAATTTGCTACTTGTTTAATGCAATTTCTATAAAAAAAAAAAAAAAGAGATTTCAGACTTTATTTATTCGCTATATTTGCTAGCATCATTTAAAGTTTTCTCAATTTTCTAAATTTATTTTAATTATTTTTTTTCATGTCACCATTTAATTAATTTCACTTACAGCTGATGATCCTTCAAATTATTTACCGCACCATATAGGTAGTAAATTATTTATTCGAGATTTACAAAAGTAATTGGGAGTGTTGGAGTGGTGTCCACGTAAGTGACAACATGTGGGCATTCGATTTTAGTATGTGTAATACTGAAACATACTAAATTCAAAAATATTTAATAAATATTAGTTGAGGTATTATAACATCGTTATTATTATTATCGTTTTTTCCTTTTTTATAGATTAAACCAAGAATACATAAGGTGTAAACAAATCAAATCGATTGCAAACGATACAATCCGAAGAAAATGAAAATAAAAGAATAAGAAATTAAAAAAATACAAAATGAAAACTAAACAAAATTATAAATAACATACGTGTTATTATTGAAACAGTAACATGCTTTTTTTTCCAAAGCGATTTATGATTAAAAGATAATAAATGACCCATAATTTACCAGCAAATATTTTTTGATATTCCCTAAAATATAAACATTAAATTCATGAAGCTTTTGTAGTTTCAACCAAATTTACTTCATTTTAAAGTCATTGCTTTAGTAGATTGGTTTAGTTGAGAATATGGAATTTAAAAAATAATTCATGCCAGCACCGATTTAAAAACAACTAAGGTGATCTTGACACTTGTTTTACAAAGAAATATCATATCGTGAATTAGCTGAAAGTGTTGCTAGATTTATTAGATTTATTAAATGTAGCGCGGAAATCTTTCTTTTTTTTGTAATCATTATATGGTAAAGACAATTATTCTAACAATTTAAATAAAAGATACATTTGTAACGTATTAACATTAGAAATTAATTAAATAACTATATTAGGTTGGTTCGACTCTAAGATTCGAATTTCGATTAATCTATAATCGATTTTATGAAGAACTTAAATTACATTTTTGTTTTTCATCTTTTCTAACTAATCTGCAAAATCGTCTTACTTTTTTTCACACGACGAAAATTTTAATTTATCAACAACCTTGCTCAATTTGTTTTCTAGTGATCCATATCCTTTATATTTACCCTCGATATTGCACCAAATTGTTTCCAAACTTGATGGCAAATGTCTCAGACCATCATCAATATTAGTTCAACCAATTTCTAACTCCTTTAGTTTACTGATTTTTTCCAAAGGCCATGGAAACGATTGTAATTATTGCAGGCAGTTCCTCGCTGGTGATTTCCTATTCACAATGATCTCACTAATATCATAAAATTTGGTAGGGAAATTTTCTTTTGGCAGCCAAGTATTCCGGAAATCTTTTATTTCACATAAATTTATGGCGTAGTTTAATAAGTACTTATATAAAACAATTTAAAAAAAAAATTGCGGTTATTAAAAATTAAATTAAATTAAAATAAGCTCGCAGGGATTAAAAATATAAGATAATTATGAAAAGGTAATTAGAAGTTCAAAGCTAAAATAATTAATAAGAAAAATTTGGAATTGAAAAAAAGAATACATTAGAAAAATAATTAATAAAGTTAATTACAATAAAAATGATCGCACTTATAAAAAATCAATTAAAACATTGATTATAAATTAATTAAAAGAAAATTCAACTCAGATTAATTATATTCTTAATTTCTACTTGAGATTACTAATTGTATTAAGAACTTAAAAATTAAAAAATTCAAATGAACTCAATTACAAAATTAAGAAAACATAAAATAAATAAATAAATTACATTTAAAAATTAATTAAATTATTTAAATGTCAATTAATATAAATTTATACAACTTTAATATATAATAATTAGTTTATTAAATTTTAGGCATGAATATTTGTCAAATTTTTTCATTATTTCAATATAATTTGTAACTAAACTTCTAATTCAACTTCCATTCCATATATTTAGACCTTTTTAATAATTGTAATGCGCCATATGATATTTATTTCATTTTACGTGCAAAAATAGATTCGATTTTTTATACGATTATCGATTTCGATTAATTTGACTTTATAAGAATCGATTTCAATCCTTAGTCAAAACGCATAAAAATCGCGATTTAGATTGTTAATGAAACTTTCACTTTTGTACAAAGGGTCCAAGTAAGCCATTCAACACACCACGAATTTAAAGTTCTAATAAATTTGAAAAGGAAATCATTCAATCATTAAAGTAAACTAGCGGTTTTACCCGGGCGATGCCCCGGGGGTTAGCTAACATGAAATGAAATAATCTTTTAAAGATTTTGGCATTATCAAAATTTAAAAATAAGTAATATAATTTATTGATGTTTTTTATAAATAATCCAACCTAAATCTAAACTTAACTCTAATCCTAATTCTAATTCTAACATTAACTCGTAATTATATAATGATAAATTTTATTTTATTTATTAATCGCGGATATAAAAAAAAAAAAAAAAATACAAATTATGTTTTTATTTTAAATTTTTTTTTTTTTAGTTAATTTTTAATGTTGTCCACGATTTTTTTTTAAAAAAATTTTATTTTTTATAATCGCGCGTTCTAATATTTAATTTTTTATTATTATTATTTAATTTAATTATTTTATTTTTATTTTTCGGATTTATTTAAAATAAAAAGATCATAGGTTACTTACTCTCTTAATATTAAGAATTCCAGGACCAAGGTTCCATATGGATCACATTTTTAATCTATATTTGACTGATTTAAAGCGTATCGGATTATTCTAAGGAAGTTCAAAAATTGTTGATATGAAGATTCCCACATGAATTCATGAAAAAATTATTCTTATTATCCAAAGTAAATAAATGTAAAAAAAAATGGATTGTTAATATAATAATATTCAGGTAATATTGCCATCTGTTATAGTATATTTTTCTTGAATGATATTTAATTAAAAACTACCCATTTATATTTTCCTTAGCCGGTAATTCTTTAAGAAATTGCTGAATCGAATTTTCTTCGGTATGGTTTGATGAAATTAATGAGATAAATTATCAAAATTGTGGGTATTTTCCTTCTTTAAAGAAATACCATAAATGGAGAAATCGAAGAAATTCTTCCAAAATCTTATCAATAACAGTTTAACAAGTTTGGAAACATTAAATCAAGCATTTGTATGAGAATTACGAGAGATACAAAAAGGAACCGTAGAAATGTGAGAGGCATGAAATAATAGGAAATAGCTGTCAAATTTTTTATATTTCAAAATTAAAAAGCAAAAGCAACGTATTTCGTTTTTTACATTATTTTTTTCTAATACATATAAAAATTGATAATAAGAATCTTAGTAAGAAGGAAATAATTTGGTCACTAAAAATGTAAAATAAAAAAAAATTGAAATACTGTTAATAATGTAAAAAGCAAATATTTTAACATTACACATCAAAATAATTCAAAACTCGTTGCTGATACATAAATGAAGTGCCAGCTGGAAAACCTTCTGGAATGTCATTAAAGAATAAGTTCGCAAGAATAGTATTTGGTAGTTAGCCATGCCGGCTACCATGCATTATGACGTAAGAAACCAACTAATCTATTAAAAGGTACATTAATTGTATGAAGAAATATTGCTGGCTGGTGATTGAGTGGTGCATTTCCAAATGAAATTACAATGTTTGAATAGCATTTTGGTAACATTATCATTTATGGTGCATCTGGTAGCGGATTTCGAGTATTTAGTGCTGGGTTCGGGATTTGATTGTTACTTGGGTGAATTAGCACGAATAGCAGCAGTGCGAGGAAGTATCTTATTGCAAGATATATTCCAATAAAATTTGTCTGTGTAGAAGCAGGAAAGTATTCTCCTGCCAAGTTATGCAAACTTTCTCGTTCTTCCATTTTTCCCACTTCTACAATCATTCTTGGCTGCAATAACGCAAGCCTATATGGCGGAACTCTTTAGTACGACTGTGACATCAGTACAGTACTCACTATTATCACCAATGGTAATATCCAAGTCGTTATGAACCAGAAGCCTGTTGTTTCACTTTCTATCAAGAAACCAAATCCTCCTTGTGTATGCTTCCAGGCATCTCGTACGCAATTACATTACCCTTAATTAAATGAATATATATGTTATACCTCCGTTTTTCTCCACAAAACTTGTGGTATCTTTCAAGTAAAATTCCACTGAAAACGATAACTTCTTTGACTCTTTATAGTACTCTCTTCTGCAATTCAATTTTTCTTATCAAATTCAAGTAAGCACTTTCTTGCTAGTTTAAGATCTTCTCCAGGTTGCCCATTAGCATTTCAAATAATTTTTTTCGATTAATAATTACAGTATATAATTACAATGTTTTATATCGATGAACACACTTAATCAATGATACTAATCAAAAAAAATTTAAATAATAATTTTTTTTAGGATTATAACGTAAATAACTATCTCCTCGATTTAACTTTAAATATTTTCTAACATTTCGAGAATTCATTTTAATATCTTTTCTTCAAGATCCATCATAATTAAACAAGGACTTATGTTCTGTAGAAATTTTATACATTTTGATAATATAACGAGAAGCACGTTATAAATAAATCTGCAAAAATTAAATTTATTTGCTTTTTAAATGAATTGTTGTTTAATTCACAATATTTATTTTTGATTAAAGTGTGATTTTTTGAGAAAATTTCTAGACTAGCTTTTCGCGGTAAGACAGGATGTAGTAGAGAAGGTTGACCAAATGAGTATTTAATGTGGTATAATTGATGTTGAGTTTGATTTTTCATCCTAAATCGCAATTCAGTATCAATAAAACTAACATACAATACGCTGTATCACTTAGTTTTATCGTTCACTGACAAATGAAAATTTTTGGATTCTTTTTCATCTAAATAATATCAATATTTAGAACGAAATATCAAGAGCGAAAAAAGATTATTAAATTATTTCCGTACGTATATATACTGCGCCACAAACTAAAAATCAATTGGCGAAATATTAAAATAAAGACTAATAACTAAAAATATAATTTAGTTTCCGTATTCAATTATAGATAGAATTTCGGCAGTCTTTTCTCAAGACTCTTCAACCACACCCCTATCATCAAGTCGGGACTATTTGAGGTTCTTCTACGAAAGTACCAAATTCTAGCTTTACTATATAAGATAACAATATTACAATATAACGAACATCACGTAAATAACAAATATAAAGAAAATAATGGATAAAATAAAATAATAATTACAAATAAATGTAAGATTATATAAATGCATTAAAAATAATACTAGCTATATTGCCTTAGTTATTTACAGATTGATCGGGCTAATTATTTTAAAAAAATAGTAAGAAATTCAATTCTAATGAACTTTGTGTACTCCGTTTTTATTTAATAAAAAAATTTAATTAATGCAAATTAAATAACTTTACCTATTAAAAGATAGATTTTGTAAAATATATTTATATACAGAATCATTTTGAACCAATCATATTTAAGAAAAGGGATATTTATTATGAATATTGCTTAGTTCTCAGGATTAAGTTGTTTTTTAAAGGTTTAAATTTTTTTGATTTTTTTTGCGACCAGTCATATGATTATTTTTTGACTAAAATTTTTCTAATAACAACAAAAATTACCAGCGCTTAAAATTAATTTTTTTTGTTTATCTGCGCCAACTAACATTTGCTTAAACATTATTTTTTTTTAAAAACAAAAAAAAAATTGTATTTACTTCAAACTAACATGAACGCTTAGAAAATTTCCGCACTTACAATTTTTAAAAAAATCGGTCGACTTAAATATTCTAGATAGTAAGTTTTTTTTTTGACATGATAAAAACACGAAGACTAAATAAAAGAACGCTGTCAATTTTTCCCAAAAATTTGCCAAATAAACGTAAGTAAAATTTTTTTCTAATTTTTAAAGAACTGAACCTTTATTAAGTAATAAACATATTAAAAAATAAAAATAAAAAAAAAGTTCAAATGCCTTTACCGCAGCATCTCGAATTAATATATGTTATGGATACGAAGAAAAGAAAAGAAAATCCTCTGCCTCATATGTGGATTGAAGTTAATTCTAGACATATCTCAATTAAATGAACGATAATATGATATGATTTGCATTTTTATTAATTTCTTGATTCTGAATTTAAGTTAATTTATTATTAGTTACTCACTGGTTTACTCTGATATAAAATTTACGTGCCTTCGTTCATGAGCATTACACAAATCTGTTATAGTTATGGTTCAGAAAGTATGTATAGTAGTTATGTAAAAAAAACATACATTCCGAAACTATTACTATAAAGGGTTTGTATAACACTCACTCACAAAGCACGTAAATTAGAGATTGGAACTGGTTAATTAACCTGTTAAAACGGTTTAGATAACCTCGAATTTTCAGTTTTTATTTAAGGCGTAGCGATTTTAATCACAACACAAAAAGTTTTATTTGCAAATAAATTATTATTTATCATAAATATTTGCATTTCATAAATTTTACATTGTATTATAATTAATCCAGCTTTATTTTAGATAATTATAATACATTATGATGATAACTTTTATTATTTTTGGGTTAGAACATTTCAGAAACAATAAAGTGTTTTTTTTTAGTTTCCTTTTTAATTTTATTTTTTAATTTTTTTTGCTTTCGGTTTTCCTCTTCAGATCGCAGCGATCGAATGATTTATTTTATAAAAAAATATATATTTTAAAACTTAAATTCCTGGATGTTTCTGATGTACGCTGCTGTTTATTTTTTTGTTAGTTTTTAGTTAATTTGTTCTGTTTACTTTTGAGTTTGACCGTTGGTCGCAAGAGATCATATATTTTATTTTTTCACCTTTCATTCTTTTGTTGCTCTTTCGAGTTGGGAGTTGTTACTTTTGATCATTCCATTATTATATATTTATCATTTATTTTACGGTATGTTTTTTTTCCGATTCTCCCGCTTTGAGCAACGATGAGAATTTTTTATTTCTGATTTTAGTTTTTTTCTTTATTTTAAATATGATTTTCTTTATTTTTTACATTAAAGGTTCCTTCACTTTATTTTTATTTATTTATTTTTTTTTTGATTATTACTTTTTTTTTTCGCAAATCTAATAATTATTATATTATAAAGCAATGCTGTGGTGGTGAATTGTTAAGTACGCTTTATTCACATATATTTGGATTTTGCTACTTAAAATGGACACGATTTGTTATTCGATACTTTATTAATTCGATTTTGGTAGAATCAATTTCAATTTCTATATTCGTGAGTTTAAATTTTCTTTAACTTGTTATTACAGCTTTATGTGTTCCTGTGCATATTACAGATTGTGCTCCTTTTATAGGGCTTTGTCTCATGGACTGTTATTGACTTTATGGGGTCTAGGGATGCATAGTAACAGCATTATCATGTTCTAAGTCTTGGTGGTGTCTCCTGGTGGAATTATCCTCTTAGACTGTGTATGTCTTATGTACAGTGGCGATCAAAAATAACGCATCACCTAAATGAAAATATTTAAATAAAAATAACTTTTCATATAATGCTCACA